TGTACACACCCAACCCCCCACACCCACAATTCTCAAAGTGGATGGCATATTTTCATGTCCTATGATCTCATTAATTCATGATCAAGTGTTTGTGAGTTCAATAACATTACTTGCTGAGAGCCTTAATGGAAAGCTAAAATGAATAAAGAAAAACAAAATCAACAGGCGATGTACTAACACCATTTTACCAAGAAACTTCTAAACGAACTGGGTGTATGCAGTTAAACCATGTGCACCTGTTTATATAGACTGTAAAATACTTTATTTTCACTTGGAATTAAGTTTTGATATTTTCGCTGAAGGAATGATTCAGTGAAAATAAAATCCAGCGAATGTGCCTTTTTTCCTATATTTTACAGTCAACTCAAAAATCAGTGAACATAAATTCCATACAAAACACCCTAAAACTCTTTTCAGTGAAAATAAAGTATTTCACAGTATTCGAATCGTACACTGTTTTACACTGATAGCCTTCAAATGAACAAGTAACAAACATTCCTTGATGAAATATCACTCAAACTTGTGTGAAATATCACTCAAACTTGTGTGAAATATCACTCAAACTTGTGTGAAATATCACTCAAACTTGTGTGAAATATCACTCAAACTTGTGTGAAATATCACTCAAACTTGTGTGAAACTATCGTCTACATTTTTTTAATGGCGAGATACACGTATCAATGAATCGCAGGAATTTGTTTTTTTTTCCCGAACTTTTCAAGATTTCATCAAACAATATCTACCCCAGACCATTCGTCCCGGTGTTATCGCTATCGCCACACGAGACTCCAGCTTGTCTCCTATACAATTTTCCTTCCGCCCACTTAATTTAAAATTCATATGACCTTTGCACTGACATCGATAGCCAATCGCATTCGACCGCGGACGTCACTCTAAATAAACAACTGAATAAATTAATATACCATATTTGGAAGATAGCGGGTAAATTCAACGTTGTTGGTGTGTTCCTTCGGGTTCCGAAGTCGCACGAAACGAGTTCATGTTCCGTTATCTTTCGCAAGTAAAACAGGTCGATATGTATTAAACATGGCATTTGTTT